GGCGAGGGCCACCGGTTCCTGCACCGGGCATGCGCGGAAGTAGGAGCGCGGCGGCCCGGCATGCGCAGGCGCACAAGGCCGCCGGGTGCTGGTCCAGCTCCCTGATTCCTGGCTACTGTCACCTTCCTCCCGGACCCTGGTCACGGCCGCAGGTGACCCCTTCCCCCAGCCCCAGTGGGCGGGCGGCAGGTGAGGATCAGGGCCTCGGCTCAGCCCGGGGGCTCTTCTCTGGGACGGATGCTGTGGGCGTGGGGTCCGGGCGCGGGGTCGCCTCCCACCCGAGAGCGTCTGCGCTCCGCGGGCCTTGTGCCAGGCCACGTGCCGCCGCGGCCCGCGCTCTCCGCGTCTGCAGAGGCTGGAGGCGTCTCTGCAGCCCGGGGCGGTGCAGGGAGGGGAAGCTGCCTGCTGGCGAGCCCAGGCGTCCCCGAGACCCCAGCTCCAGGCTCGGCGCCAGCCTGGCCCCCAGCAAGCCCCGTAACTTCTAGGCTTGATTCAGCCTCCTGCGGAAAGAGGTTACTAATGACCTGCCCTGCCAGACTCAGCGTTGTGAGGCTGCAGTGCCGCGTGGAAGCGTTTCAGTCGCTGTGTAAATGTCCGCCGTGTCTTCACAGTGAACATGTAGAGTGTGTTTACTGTGAAGACGGTGAAAGCGTTTATTCAACAGAGAGCGATAGCGTCAAAGATGCGTTTTAACGTGTTATTTTTCCACTCTTGACTACAAAACACTTTAGTAGCACCAAGGAAAAATTTTCTTGGACCTACGGTTTGTGCCTTTTTATGGCTACTTGAAGACATGGTGTCTTTGGATTCAAACGTTTTTCTTTTGGTAAATTCAGAAGATGCTGGTGGATAATGAGCCAGGCCCCTGGGTGGGATTGGGGTGGGAGACGGAGAGGAAAAATGCAAATGAAACATTACAGTCACAGTGTCACTCATTGAGTCACGTCTTGCGATTTCTAACTGGATCTTCACAGTGACTAAACTGTGCTGCCATTCTGCTTTCTCATTAAAATGATAATTGCTATGCTTGTATCTGTGCAGCTCTTCACACTTTAAAAGATGTCTGTGCTTGGGCACCACTGTTTAATCCTCTTTATTCTGAGGTACCAATCTTATGTAAAAGATCAAGATTTTCAGGGATTACTTCACTTGGTCGTGAAGCTAAGACTCAACGCAGTTATTGAGACCCTGCGTTCAGAGCTCTTTCTGCCCATCCCTGCCTGGCAACCTTGCAAAGAGAGCTGAGAGGTGACCAGCACAGAGAAAAGGTTATTGGCAGAAAACCCTGTGTGGGTAGCCTGTCATCATCAGGTATCATCAGTGTGACGTTAGGAAAATCACTTGGCCTTCTGTGCTGTATGATGGAGGTAATAATAATACTTCATAAGTTTATAATGAGTATTAAATAATACAGATAAAATGCTTGATCTGTAATGAATGTTCATTACCTGCAGACTTCTATTAATACATGCTACCTAGATTTCCACTACACACCCTAGTGCCCCTATGGAAAGAAATTTTACGTGACTGCAATTTGGTAAAAGATTTATATTCACAGAGTGTCTGTGTCCAGAAAATGAACCTGAGAAACCAAGTTTTAAATATTATTAGGAACTTATTATTTCTCAAATACAGAATTACTTAAATTTAGTATTTTTAAAAAATTTAAACAAGCACAGTCTTGTGCAAAGCCCTCAAACAAGGAAAAAGCCAGAGTTCTTTGCTGCACTGTGATGCAAAGCTTCTGTAAGCTTATGTAAGCTTAAAATTCTATTTATGTTTTAATAAAATTAAAGTCAATGACAGGAGGGAGTAAAGACTTATGTACAAATCAAGAAACAGATACCTGTGTTTTTCCATTTTTAATTATGAAAGATAAAGACGACCTGTAACACGTAAGATTTAAAGAGCAAGTCAACCCAGTCTTCCATTACCAGTATAAGATGGGACCACTTCCCATTGCTGTGAAACTCACGTGTGTCCCTCCCCAGTCAAATTCTCATGCCATCACCTTCCACCCCTCCTTCACTATAGTGGGCATATAGTGGGTATTACTATATCCTGGCTTTTCTTTTCAGTTTGACCAAGTGTGTTTGAATTCAGCATTTTTGTTTAATTTACATTTGAATATACAGAATCATGCTGTTTGTTTTTCTACTCATTCTTTGTGCAAAATTTAATTTGTGAGATCCAAACATAATTGATGTGTTAGATACGGAACAGTTCAGTGATTTTCACCACTGTTTCAATATTTTCTGTTTTAGTATACCAGTCTACTTATTTACTTATTATTTTGTCTACAGGTAGTGTTTATTTCCACTTTTTCTTTTAGGGCTTTAGAAGAAAGGTATTTTGATTTGTTGTTTATGAAATTCAACATCATAGCTTACACTGCTCATGTACAGGAATTCCTCCGTGGTATGTATGTAATAATGCAATTGCTAGGTCCTCGGTGCTGTGACCACATATTTATTGTTTCAACCAAGACTCCTTTAAGAGTGAAAGGAGACAGGTAATGATTTTACTGAGGCCAGGCACAGTGGCTCATACCTGTAATCTCAGCATTTCGTGAAGCCAAGGCAGGAGGATCACTTGAGTCCAGAAGTTCAAGACCAGCCTGACCAATATATTGAGGCCCCATCTCTACGAAAAAGACAAAAATAGCTGAGTGTGGGAAAACGCATCTGTAGTCCCAGCTGCTTGGGAGGCTGAGGCAGGAGGATGGCTTGATCCCAGAAAGTTGAGGCTGCAGTAAGCCACTGTCATGCCACTGCACTCCAGCCAGAGTGACAGAGCAAGACTATGTCTCAGAAAATAATAATACTGATAAAATAATAGTAATAACTTAGACCATGGGTGAAAAATTGAATTGTTCTGGGAAAAATCAAGATGCGTTGTTATCTAAGTGATAGGACTTGTGCTTTTTAAACTTTACTAGATAGTACCAAGTTGTTTGTCCACATGTATGTTTAAATGTATACCCACTTCAGCTGTTTTTCATTTTTCTAATGGATTATTTAGTGTCCTGTTAATTTGTAGGAATTTGTTATGTATTCTTGGTGTTAATTCTTTCTCAGTTACATTGTTTCATTTTTGGGGGGTTTTAATGATAGAACTTTCAATTTTAATATAGCAAATGTATCCATTTTCCTTTTGTGGTTTGTACTTATTTATTATGCCTAGTTTAAGAGGATTTCCCTACCTTGAAAATATATTCTCTTATATTTTCTTTTGAAAGTTTTGACGTTTTGCCTTTCAAAGTTAAGTTTTGGTTTGTTTTTTGTTTTTTTTTTTCCACTGAGATGGACTCTCGCTCTGTCACCCAGGCTGGACTGTTGCAGCATGATCTCAGCTCACTGCAACTTCCACCTCCTGGATCAAGCAATTCTCTTGCCTCGGCCTTCCGAGTAGCTGGGATTACAGGTGCTCACCACCAAAATGGGCTAAATTTTTTTGTATTTTTAGTAGAGACAGGGTTTCACCGTGATGGTCAGGCTGGTCTCGAACTCCTGACCTTGTGATCCACCCACCTTGGCCTCCCAGAGTGCTAGGATTACAAGCATGAGCCACCATGCCTAGCCCACAGTTAAGTTTTTACTGTGCCTGAGATTGATGCTGTATCTGAGGTGAGGCAAGGTTCCAGTTTATTTTTTCCCAGATGCATGATTTGTCTACACATCACTCAAGGAAAATCCACCTCTTCCCTTGATGTATGCTACGTATTCCCTTGTGATATTTTAGTCCTTAAACCATAGATTTTTTATGTATTTTAAATAAATAATCATAGATGAGAATTTTTTTTCTTTTCAGTTTTTATCGTAGCTTTTAGTTATTTTTCTTGTCTTAATCCTGCCTCAGGCCTCCAGTGTTAGGCAGCATACAAATACTGAAGAGGCATCTTTATCTTTTTTCTACTTTTAAAGAGAATGCTTTAAGTGTGTCACCATTAATTTGAGGTTTCCTGTAGGTTTAGTAGATACCCTTGATTGAATTAAGGGGGTTACTTTCTGTTTCTAGTTTGCTGGCAGGTTTTGCCTGGAGCACATGCTGAATTTTATCCTGTACTTTCTTGTGCCTCTATTGAGATAGTCATGTACTTTTTATTAATCTATCAGTGTGCTGAATTATATAAATCGATTTCCTAACGTTAAACCAATAGTACATCTCTGGGATAAGCTGAGTATGGTGTGAAAATAAATACATTGCCTATTCAGTTAGCTACTATTTCAAGATTTTTGATGTGTTTTCATGAGTGGGATGATAGTTTCCCTTTTTGTATGGCCTTGTCAAATTTTGGTCTCAAGGTTATATTAGCCTTATAAAGTGAATTGGGTCATGTGTCTTTTTTCTTCTCTGCAAGGATTTTTGTACAGTAGGAATTATCTGTAGGGAATCTTTGGTAGAATTCACTGGTAATCCATCTGGACCCTCTATTTTCTTTGTGGGAAGACTTAACTACTGGTTGTACTTTTTTTATGGTTATAGAACTATCTGGTCGTAGATACATGGCTATTACTAGTGTCTGCTTTGCATTTGAACCTTACATTGGAATAAGACTAACGTTAGGAAACAGTTAAGTGAAGAAATGATTTTGCTACAAATTATATGTCCCGTCTCAGGAAATCTTATGTATATAATTTGTATAGATGTAGCTTTATAATATGTATGTCTTCCCATTCATAAAAGCATCATCTAAAACGTGTTTTACATCATTTTTATGTGAGCATTTATCTTGATTTTCTAGAGAAGTAAACTCTCAGATCCCCACTTACAAGCACTTTCTTGTAGCTAGATTTTATTTGTGTGAAAGCAAAAGCGATCATCCCTGCCCTAGGTTATTAGGGCTTTTTATTACTTTGGTATTTACTTAAGAATAAAATTTATTTTTTCATTTTCTTCTCTTCTCAAAAGTGATTCACAGGTATTAATAAAATTTTGGAGATTCCTTTTTAATTTACAATTTATAAAGTTTTTAAGCTTTATGATTTAGAAGTGTTTTATTTGATGATGTTATTCTAGGCGATATTCTTTGTTATCATATCTCTGATAAACAGATTTCCCTAAATCTTAGAGGTTTAAAGCAGCATCATCTTCACAACAGTAAGATGTGTTTTTTGTTTTTTTTTTTTTTTTTGAGACAGAGTTTCACTCTTGTTACCCAAGCTGGAGTGCAATGGCGCAATCTCAGCTCACTGCAACCTCCGCCTCCTAGGTTCAGGCAATTCTCCTGCCTCAGCCTCCTGAGTATCTGGGATTACAGGCACGCGCCACCATGCCCAGCTAATTTTTTGTATTTTTAGTAGAGACGGGTTTTCACCATGTTGACCAGGATGGTCTCGATCTCTTGACCTCATAGTCCACCCGCCTCGGCCTCCCAAAGTGCTGGGATTACAGGCATGAGCCACCGCGCCCGGCCTAAAGATTTTTTTCTTAAAAAAGTTTCTTGACAAAGGAAATAAAATTTTTAAGATCTATGAGATTGAATCAGAGTTAGCTTTAGAACCTAGAATCTTATTAGGTCTGAGGGGAGATTAGAGGGAGGGAAAATCCCTTTCTCTCATCATTAGCTTATCTGGAAATAAACTCTTTTTTCTAAAATAAAATACGCAGAACACAGTTTTGCCTTCAAGTTCTGCTGGGAGATGCAGAGGGCACTGCCTCATGCTGCCGTTTGCTCCTGTGCCCAGCCTCTATCCCTGTCCCGATAGGACCCAAAGGAGGAGGCTTTCCATGCAAAGAGGCTTCCCCCTTTGGGGTTCTCGGGCAGTTTATTCTTTTTTTTTTTTTTTTTTTTTTTCAAACAACCAGACACACGAAAGTTTTTAGTTTATTAAGCTTCTCCTGAAAAATCCACAGCGGCCATAGATAACGTCACTGCAGTGCCTTTGCTCCTTCGGCCTTTTGCCAGCACCGACGTTGGCCTTCGCAGTCCCCCGACTTTCTTCGTTCCGTTCTTGCGTTCCTTTCATTGCTTTCTTGAGGTCTTTTCTTCTCATGCCGGCCATGTCTTGCAGGTCTATGTTTGGGTTCATTTTTCTTTGCATAATCCAGGGAATCATAAATCATGCCAAAGCCAGTTGTCTTGCCACCGCCAAAACGAGTTCTGAATCCAGATACAAAGATGACATCGGTGTGGTCTTGTACGTTTTGGCTGGTTTTTCCCGAATTTCTGTCTTAGGCACTGTTGCCTTCCCGGGCTGAAGACATCAATGACCATTTGTTTCCTCTGAAGCAGTCGCTTGGTCATGAACTTTCTAGTGCGGATAGTAACTGTGTCGTTCTTGATGGCGGCCTATCCTCAGGCAGCCGGGGAGGAACCTCTAGGGCAGTTTCTTCTTTGGGCTTCCGGTGAAACATTGCAAGGAAAAAAAAAGCTTTTACTCCTTTTCATTGTGTTTTTGATTCATCTATAACTAATAATTATTGGATGAATGTATAAGTAAGGGAGTTAATAACTGACCAGGCTGAACCAGAAACCTCAAAATATGTAACTTGGATTATCTACTTTAATGTTTCAGGAAGGCTAACTGATTTGGAATATTGTGATGGCAGTGTTGACAGGGAGAAAAAGGTGATCTTATCTAGAGATCAGCCAAGTAGCATTTTTTAAGTAAAAAAGGTACATGTTGTTTTATTCTGAAAAATTTCCCTTATCTTTTATCATTGTCTCTTAGATTTCCTTAACTTGAATTTGTTCACTATGAGAGTAAAACTACATAAAGGAAAAGTTTTTCAAGGAAAGGAACAAATACTTTTTTACAGTTCGAGCTCTTTGTCTCATTCCGTGGCCTTTACCAGCCCGTGGCCCCTCAGCATGCCAGCCTCGGCGGTACTGGTTTCCCACCCCCTAGCTATGTGATTTCCGGTAACACAGCCTCCTGAGGCCTCAGTGTCCTCATCTGCAAGGCAAAGACAGTGATAGCAGCTATCTCAGAGGGATGTTCTGAGAATCGCGTGTGCATATACACCAGGTGCGTAGTATGTGCCGATAAATGTTAGCTGGTTGTGTTGTCAGCTTCAGCCATCATTGCTCAGTGAGCGTGCTTTTGTTTTCTTAGTGTTTAAGTTTTCCGTGTCATTCTCACTGTCTCAGAGTCCAGAGTTAGGCAGATAATAAGGTGGGGGAGCGGCATGGGGAAGAGTGAAGAGACTATCATAGGTTGAAGAGTCTTAGGAGGGCTTCATGAAAGAGGAGGGACTTCAGCTGAGTCTCAAAATAAAGCAGCGTTTATGTGGCTGGAACCTCACACCTCTCAAATGGCTAACAAGGGTTGGCACGGATGGGAATCGGAATACTTGTGCACTGTTGGTAGGAATGACTAGTTCAGCCACTATGAAAAAGTTTTTTGGTCCCTAAAAAAGAATTAAAAATAGAATTACCATATTATTCAGCAGTCCCTTCTAGGTATATTCCCAAAATGATAAAAAGCAGGCTCTCAAAGGGATGTTACACCCATGTTCATTGCAGCAGCATTCACAATGGCTTAAAGGTAGGAGCAACCCACATGTTCATCAGCAGATGGCTGGGTCAACAAAATGTAGCGTGTGTAGCGTGGCATGTGATTCAGCCGGAAGGAACGTCTGCCCAAGCTGCAGCCGAAGTAGCCCTTGAGGACTTTATGCTGAGTAAACTCAGCCAGTCACAAGAAGGCAATATCGGTGATTCCACTTATTTTGTAGTGGCAGGGTTGCAGGGGGGTGTTTAATGGGGATAGCATTTTAGTTTTGCAAGTTGAAAAGAGTTCTGGAGATTAGTTGCATGAACATGTAGATGTACTTGACACTATTGAACCTAAGGTGGTACATTGTATGTGTGTTTCACTGTAATCAAAAGCACATGGATAAGAAGCTGGAGAAATGGAGTCTCAGCCATTGCAGGCCATAAGCAAGAGGCATGTTCGGTTGAGGACACGATCACGCTCAGGGACCTTCTCTGTCTTTGCTTTTAGGGGCATGGAGGATGCTCGCGGCGGCGAGGAGACCCCGGCCCCGCAGGCCCCGCACCTCCCTCCGCTCGCACCTGCGGAGGAGCAGGGGTTGCTCTTCCAGGAGGAGACCATCGATCTTGGTGGAGATGAGTTTGGATCTGAAGAGAACGAGAGCGCGTCGGAAGACTCGACTCCCCTCGTGGACAAGCTGAACGAACACATGATGGAAAGCGTCCTCATCTCCGACTCCCCCAACAACAGCGAGGGCGACGTGGGTGACCTGGGCCAGGTGCGTGAGGAAGCCGAGCCCCGAGGGGAAGGCGACTCAGGCCCGGAGCCCGCGGGCACCCCGAGTCCCACCAGCGAGGCCGACGGCGACTGTGCGCCTGGGGACGCCGGGGAGGACGAGGCCGTGGCCCCCGGCAGTGGTGGGGCCCCGAGGCAGGACGCGGCCCCTGAGACCCCGGGCAGCGAAGCCGAAGCCGCACACCCCGAGCAGACGCCGCCCGCCGCGGACCCGGTCCCGGTGTGCACCATCTTCAGCCAGCGTGCGCCCCCGGCCCCCGGGGACGGCTTCGAGCCGCAGATGGTGAAGTCGCCCAGCTTTGGCGGCACCAGCGAGGCCCCTGCCCGGACACCGCCCCAGGCCGTGCAGCCCAGCCCCAGCCTCAGCACGTTCTTCGGAGACGCGGCCGCCAGCCACTCCTTGGCCTCAGACTTCTTCGACTCCTTCACCACCTCCGCCTTCGTCTCGGTCAGCAACCCCAGCGCGGGCTCCCCTACCCCTGCCAGCCCGCCTCCCCTCGCTGTGCCCGGGACAGAGGGGCGTCCCGAACCCGTGGCCACGCGAGGGCCCCAGGCCGCTGCGCCCCCGGTGTCGCCGGAGCCGTTCGCGCACATCCAGGCTGTGTTTGCTGGGAGTGACGACCCCTTCGCCACCGCCCTGAGCATGAGCGAGATGGACCGGAGGAACGACGCCTGGCTCCCTGGCGAGGCCACGCGCGGAGTCTTGCGGGCTGTGGCCGCCCAGCAGCGCGGCGCCGTGTTCGTGGACAAGGAGAAGCTCACCATGCCGGGGCTCAGGTTCGACAACATTCAGGTGAGACTGGGTCTGCTGCCTTCGCAGTGCGGCCTCCCCTCCCCTCTGCCCAGTCTGTGAGATGTTCGCGGTGCCCTTCACAGGAGAGACGCCCTTGTTTTCAGTAGTTCCTTATGGCAAGCTGTGTTACTCTGCCCCGAGGTAATTAGGATCTGTTGGTTTTCTCAACAGAATCGGTTTAATGAGCTACTTTCAGAGATGTAGAAATAAACACCAGCAACGCGACGTTCCACCATAACTCTGTTAGTTCTCTGTGCCCTGTAATACATTTGTGACATTTGAACTCCAGTAAATGATAAATCCATTTTTAAAAAAAAATACGGAAAAACATACTTCTGTTACATAGAACACGCTTGATGTAGAATTTGCATAGGTTGAATAAGAAAAATATGCGTGACCCAAAAAGTAACAAATCACAGAAATATGTTAATGTTATGCTAAATGTAATTAGCATAAGATTTCCATCCTCACCACTAATGAAAGACAGTTGACGCAGGATTGTTTTCAGTGCTGCTTTTCCAGCGGAGACATCCGCCACCGGTGATGCCCCTGCCCAGGCCTCTCTCGGCCCAGGAGCCGCACCTGGCTCGGCTTTGGCCTATCCGGTGGCCACATGACTGTGCTCTCAGCTCCAAGTGGGAGGGTTGTGCGAGCAAACCAGCGTGGGGTCCGGGGGCTCCAATGGCCAGCACAGGAGCGGGCTCCACAAGGGGCTTGCAGCCGGACCAGGCATGTGGCAAGTGACTCCCTCTGCGGACTCCTGCGTCCAGGCGAGGGGAACACCATGGCGCCCAAACAGATGCCCGCGACCACCCCGAAGCCCCATAGGGGATGTCCCAGGACTAACAGCGTATTAACAGCCCTCAACCGGCGCGTTAACAGCCGGCTGCTCTCGGCCCCGTTGCCCCTTTCTGGCCACCACTGCTTCCGCTGAGTGGGGCAGGCACAGCGGGTGGGGCTGGAGGTTACAGTATTACTCCAAGCCTCGTACCTGCATTCTGCAGTGACCTGAGTTCTTGTCCTGCCTCCAGGAAGAATGAGATTATGTTGATAACCAGAGTGTGAGGGGGGCGGACAAGAATTTCGTTAAGCACAAAACAGGTCTCAGCGGAGATGGGGGGCGGGGTGGTTCCCCACCAGAAGTCAGGTGGTCTTTCCCCCAGTGTGGCTGG